TGTAAGTGCTTTTACTTCAAAATGACACCTTTTATTTAATGCGTTACTTAGAATTAGTTTGTAATACATGTTCTTAGATGTTAGATGAAAACTTTTTTCCTTTCCTGCCATGTTTAGGTCAGAAATAGAAAATATTATCTAGCTGTGGGCTACTGTCACCTTACAGCAAAAGGTTTGGGTTCGATCGTCAGTCCATTTCTCCTTTAAATTAACATAAAGCGTTTTTAATGTTTTAACATTTTGAGTTTCATTAATTAAGTTGTATATATTGAAAACGAAAAAAAAATGAATATAGTAAACAGTTGGGATTTAGATCAGTTGAGTAAAATTTACTTAATTTTTAATAAAAAAATTGAAGAAAATCAAAATCATTGCTTTAGACTTAAGTTCTTGAATCAAATGGAATAAAATACTCGCAGAGCAAAAGTTCCTCTTTTTTGAAAAGAGAAATCTGAGAGTAAAATTTACTTCAGTTTGTTGGTTAAATCAACTCTTCTTGGAGAGGAAAAATAATTTATTGAGTAAAATTTACAAAGAATTTCTATGTTGAAAAAGAATTTCTCAGTAAATGCTACTTTGATTTTTTTCAGTGCAACATTCTGGTTCCATTGAGAGAAGATGAGATTCACGAAAAACTAAAGAGCTGGATGTTTTCTCTCTTTGCCTTCGGACGTTTTTTTTCCTTTTCCATTAAATAATCAGCAGACTGAAGCCCCCGTCTCCATGGTAACATGTCAGGACCTCTGATGGACACCTTGACCGGGTGTTCAGAACATGATCAGCCCGTTCTCAGCGTACCTGCAGCTCCTCCTTCCAGCAGAGCTTTCAGACCCTGAAGTGGATCTCCTCCTCTGTAGCCTCATCAAGGCCGCACCGTCTTCACCTCTTTTCATGCAAACCAGGGAATCTGTTTTCTGCTAATTAATGACCATTTTCTTTAATTGCTCTTTTGGCTGAGGAGCGTTTAAGCAGGTCGGGCTGCCAGCTGCCCCGTCTTCTGTTAGTTCAACCTTTCTCATGCTAATTACAGCTCAGCACTAATTATCCTCCGCTGGGTCTGAACCGTTTGATCTCATTAAGCCCTCTGAGGAAGGGCCGCTTCTTTTCTCTGGGCCAAAATCACCAAGTTTCTGTTCTGGAGACTCCTTTAGCTTGCACAGGAAGACGTTTAACTTTAGTGTGGGAGTCCTGCTGCCTCTGAGATATAATTCTGGTCCAAAATATTATGTGGATTAAAAAGGAGAAACGG